AATGCAAAGGTCCCAAGGCAAGATATTCTTACGATGTTCTAGAAACTTTCAGGAAGTGAGTGAGGGTGAAGTTAAGTGGGCAAGAGAGAGAACAGATTCAGAGAGGTAGTTGGGATGGCAAAGCAGGGGGAGTCTACAAACCATGGAAGTCTTGGAGACAGTAGTAAGGACTCTGGACTTGAATCTAAGTGAGATGGGAAGCCATGGATGGTTTTTGAGCTGAGGAAGAAGTAGCATGATCCCATTTACATTTTGGGGAAAAAAAATCACCCTGGCCCCTGTGTGTTTTTAAGTGTGAGTATATTTTTTCCCACTCAACCTTTCTCCCTTTGTTCCCTGAAAAGAGGGACCTAATTACAAATCTCTTAACATGCACCATCCGCACACAGTGTCTCTTATTTCCTGCAAAACTTAACCCCTGTCAAGCTGCCCCATCCCTCAGATCTGCAAATACTCTGTACATCCCATGGGAAGCCTCTTTGTTGCTCCCCAACAATGGAACTGGGAATGAGATGCCAGGTTCTGCAGGCTCTGCTTTGCTCAGCTTTCATGTTAAGTACTGATTTCCATGACTCTACCCCCATGAGACTAGGCTGCCTGAAGGACCACCTCTCTTTTTTTATTTCCTCAGTGCCTATGATAGTGCTTTGCACATATCAGGTCCTCAGCAAATATTTCATGTCTGAATAAACAAGTAAATTAACACACTCATAAGGTAATTTTACCGAAATTCAAGACAAAATATCAAAGAATATTCCTTTGGTCATTCACAATATCTAGAAGACAGAAGGAACTAAACCAGCAAATTCATAAAACATTGACTCATTCATCTGTGATTTTACAGAGGTAGGAATAAGTCAGATAAAGAGGGAGTGGGCACTGAATTTAGAAACACCTAAGAACAGGAAACATTAGGATGCCTTTCTTTAGATCTTAGTAGACCTTAAGTTCTGGGGGCAAGGATGAGGTAGGCTGCTGGGGAGAGAATCGCAAAGGCAGATGGGCTAAGTAGAACCAAGCAGTGTTGACTATGTTTACAGATTTTAAATAGCAACAACTCCATCCAGCTTTAGTTTTAGACTAGTCAGTCTGGCAATCGTGTGCTTGATTACCAGGATGCAGGGGCAGTCAGCAGTCAGGGACCTTTGGAATGCTGCAATAGTGATCTATGCAGATGTAAAGAAGGCCTTAACAGGGATAAGCAGAGTAGAAATATATAGTGGGGAGCGGACGGCAAGAGTCATGTTGATGCAGTATTTATAGTGCTTGGTGTATGTAGGGGTAGGGGCAGAGAGGGACCATGGATGCCCTGCAAAATGATAGCTGGGAGATTATCACTTCTCTAATTGGGCCAAATAAGCAGAACATATTTAGGGGGAATGATGATTTAGTTGGTGAAATTTGTTGCAGCTGAAGTAGCTGTGGAACAACCAGGTGGAGTTGTCTAATAGGAAGTTAGAAATATAGTTCTATGGCTCATCAGAAGATTCTAGTGTGGAAAAATGATTAAGGAGCCACTGAGTGAAAAATAATAGTAGTTGGTACCAAAGATTCAGATGGCACCTTAGAAGGCTGCAGAGGGCATTATAAAGAGTTCTGGAGGGAACCCATAAATGAAGGAATGGGGAATCTATCTATGGATACAAGTGGTGGAGGCAGCTCTCCAACCCGCAGCACATGGTTTACAGGTTTGTACCCAAGGCTGCTGCTGCAGTCAAGGCCTTTATCAGAGAGGACACAGAAAATCTAATGCAATTGGCTTTAACTTTAAAGACTTACCTCAGAAATTACATACATCATAAATACTCAAATCCCACTGACCCAAACTTGGTAGCATGGATGTATCTATGCACAGGAAGGCTAGGAAATGTAGCCAGTCACTGGGTTTATCTGTGTGCCCGGATAAAACAGAAAGGAGTCTAATGCAAAAAGGAAGAAATGGAGATAGGTACTAGAAGATATAATTAGATTTTTGGGTTATTTTCTTTTAAACACGTTGCTGATGTAAGTCTCATCTAAGCAAAGAGAGCTTTGTCCAGGGAAAATGGAAAAAAAAAACCTGAAGCTTCCCAAAAGGGCAGATGTGGCTGGGACGCTGGTGCAGAGGTAGCTTTGTGAGGATGTGGCATAGTGCAGTATGAACACAGGCTGCACCACACTGAATCAAACTCGAGCTCTGTCACTTTCCTGGATAAGCTTCTTAATACCCATATCTCAACCTTACTTCAGAGGATCAATGAGATTAAGCATATGCAGTGCCAAGCACAGCATCTCCACCTGGTAAGGACTCAGCTTATTACTCCTTTCCTTTCTTCTCATTTTTAAAGGGCAGAAGATAAGATATACTTAGAAATGAAAAAGAAGCTTAAGAAGACAGGTGGCTGGACACCAAAAAAATTTTTGCCTACTTTAAAACTTTGCCTGCAACTCTGATGTCTAGTCTTAAATGAAAATCAAGTTACAATGCCAGTCTGCCCGTGTGCCTGACATACGTTGCAGAGGTAGTCTAAGGGCAGGTGTTACTCCAGAGGAGCACCCGTAGGTAGTCAGGTCTCAGGTTTTAGAAGGTGCTGGAGTTTGAACTAAAGGCAGTAACTGGTTGCAAGAGTTTTCTTTTGTCTTATTAAAATAACAACAAAAAACACATTTTTCCAGTCAGGTAATGCTATATTTATAAACAACCTGTAACTTAACTGTAACCTTATAGATAAGGAAAAAGGTAGCCCTACCCCAAAACCAGTTAATAGCTCCATCCACTTACAGAAAAAAACAAAACAAAACAAATGAACAAACAAAAACAGCAGCACAAGAATACAAGACTATATTTCTCAGGTTTTAATCCTTCTTTGCAAACTTTACTCCCATGTCTTACAAAACCCTAGAGATTGCTCCCCTAGGCTGTTCACTTAATCATAAGGCAGCAGAAGTTACCTGGCATGTCTAAGAGAACAGATCCTTAACTGGAGAGGTTACCAGGAGCGAAAAACCTCTCTTCCCTACCTCTTTCCCAGCTCCTCTCAACTTTTAACAAGAGCAAAAGATGCAAAAAAGAAATAGCAGGTTCCCTGTCTTCCTGTGAGCTGGGCCAGTAACCATGAGTCCAGATGAACAAAATAGTAGCAGCTACATATTCGAGGGCCACAAGTAAAATGAGAGGGTGGTGAAAAGAGAAAGTGTTGATTAGTTTTCAAAGGTTAAGTGTGAATAAATCATTACTATTATTTTAGTCAGAAGTACATTGTTTTATTGCCTTGTTGAAATGAAACTTATCTACGGAAAAATACCTGATTCCAATTCTGTTCTAAAACTCAATGCTAATTTCCCCACTGACAGAAGGAAAGAGGTAAAAAATATGATCTTTCTTCTGTGGAAAGCTTTAATAAGATATTTCTAGTCTGAAGTTAGTGACACCATTTATTTTCCTCTACCAGAAATTCCAGCTGAGGAGAAAGAAAGGACTTGGGGGGAAGAAAAGAATTTGCAAAATATAGGCCTAATGTTTTAAAAATGAGTACACAAAAATAAACTAAAATAAGTTGAACTTCAGTGCCTTCGTGTGTCAACAGTAAGGTTAACAACCAAAAGAAAGTCTGAAAGAGTTTTTTCCAAATAGACATTATGTTCCAGAAAAGATTTGGATTTGATTTGCATGCTTAGCATCTTCTTGCCTCTGAAATGAAGTGTTTTGGATGATTTGCAAGGCATTCTCATAAGTCACCTGTGTTGGTTCCATTTCTATTGTTCCATATTTATGCACCACTGCTCACCTCCCACTGTTTACTAAACAATTTATGATAATACACATTTATAGCTGTTTTCACAACAAAATCATTTTGTGGCATTCATTTCTCTGTAACCAAACTTCACAGGGGAAGCGGGTGGGATGTGAATCTTCTAGTTCCGTGCTTTAACATAATGCTGCATCACTAAACAAGAAGAGGGCAAATGAACTGTCATTTCCACTCAGATTAGCAGGTCTCAAAGTGAGAAGAGGTAGATTTTATTTTAAAACTAAGAATGATAAATAATAAAGGAAGATGAAGAGAAGGCAAAGAAGATGAAGAAAGCACTCAATATCAACTTTTCAAATCAGCAGAAGTCAACGGATTCAGGTTAGGAAGACAATTAAGCTCAGTTCGTTCAAAGACACTGAGTCAGGAACAAGGAAGAAACTTACACTGATAGTTCCTTGGTGAGACAACTGGGCTTTGGAATCAGAGACACCAGGTCTAATCAGAGCTCTACTACTTCAGGCAAGTTACTTAACCTCTAAAGCTCTGTTTCTGGACATACTAAGAACACCGATATCAAGTTCATGGGCTCATACATATACACAGAGCTTGGTGTATTGTTGGCACAGAGTAAACACTAAAAAATGGTAGCTATTATTATTTCAACGTGAAGGAAGAAGAAAAACACTGAATGTAAGCTTCATGAGATCAGTAATTTTTGTCCAGTTTTGGTCGCTGCCACATCTTAGCATGCCTAGCATGAAATAGGCACTCAAACATTTAATGATTTATCAAAATAAAAGAGCTATCACCTAGTCCATTATTTTGTAACATCTTCTGGATACGGCATCTCACAGCTTTGAAGGCCATATGGTCCATTTGAAAATAACTGTTGTTAAGACGTGTGTTCTGTTGTGGCTTTTCATTTCACTCACAGATAGCAACCACTATAATCATCTTAAAACCTGAATCAGCATATCCATACCAATATCTTTTCACTTCCTTTGGAGATATTGAAGCTTTTACTTTTAATATATATGCAGGACAAATATTTGAAGAACACGCTGATATTTGGTTTCACTCAAAGTTAAACAACTATTTAGCTAAATAATAACTGTTTTTGTCATCTTTTTCTCTCAAATGTAAATGCTATCACCTTGAACGAGCCAGAGAAAATAAAATCCACAGTTAGGTGACCTGGTGGTACACTGGGTTTTGATGTATTGTAAATTTCCAAAAGCAGTATTTGGGGAGCATAGTATATCTTACCTTTGCAGAATGCTCCATGGTGACCACCACTTTGGTTTTGGCACTGGACACTAAATCCATAGCACCTCCCATTCCTTTCACCATCTTCCCCTGCAAAACAAAAAATAAACAGCTCTGTATCTTTCACTTCTTTTATATGTGCCAGAACAAAATTAACTTGCAAAAAATAACCTACTAGAATCATTAAAAACTCATTGTCCTTCATTGCTTAGTGCTTGAAGTCTTATAACGTAATATTCTGTCATTCTATTATTCTGTGGTTGAAGGGTAAAGTTAAGGATAAACATTACGTCACTTTTATTAAGTGTGGCTAATATGATTTTCTTGACATTTTAGCAATAAGACAATCAGTGGATTAAAAAAAAAAAAAAAAACCTTTCCAGAATTCCGGGACATAACTATTATTACAGTATCAGATTGAAATCCAAACACCCCTGACATCCACTTCTTTCTTTTTAAACACAATCTTTATTGCGGCACTATTCACAATAGCAAAGACTTGGAATCAACCCAAATGTCCAGCAGTGACAGACTGGATTAAGAAAATGTGGCACATATACACCATGGAATACTATGCAGCCATAAAAAAGGATGAGTTTGTGTCCTTTGTAGGGACATGGATGCAGCTGGAAACCATCATTCTCAGAAAACTATCGCAAGAACAGAAAACCAAACACCGCGTGTTCTTACTCATAAGTGGGAACTGAACAATGAGATCACTTGGACTCGGGAAGGGGAACATCACACACCGGGGCCTATCACAGGGAGGGGGGAGGGGGAAGGGATTGCATTGGGAGCTATACCTGATGTAAATGACGAGTTGATGGGTGCTAGCTGACAAGTTGATGGGTGCAGCACACCAACATGGCAAAAGTATACATATGCAACAAACCTGCACGTTATGCACATGTACCCTAGAACTTAAAGTATAATAAAAAATAAAAAAAATAAAAAATAAACACAATCAACTCTACTGAGTCTTCAATTAAGGGCACTTTCTAAAGTACTCTTGGATTTCCTGCAGATTAAAATTCCATTATGTAGTAGTAGGCTGAGGCATTAATGGTGTTTTTCTAGTAATGGCTAATAAGAAAGGTGGCTCTGTCTTTCTAACATTTGGCATTTATCTTGCTCTTAGAAAAATAAAATGAAAAACATGGTTGCTAAGCAAAAACAGAACACAGAAACAGAGTTCAGGAGCATTTCACCATTATCATTCTATTTTTGATCATTTGGCCATCCCTTCTTTCATTACACATTTTACCAACCACCTTCTATGTACCACATGCTCTGAAAAAGTCCCTCCATCTATTCTATCTCCTAGTTACAGAGTTTGGAAAAAGCAAGTGTTTCCAGAGATGGTAAAATGATTCTTACTCAAGTATATTGAAGAGAAATGTCTTTGAACTGAAACCTCCTTAACATTTTATCTGTTTTTTAGCCCAAGTCCTGTTGCTGATTTGCCAGTAAAGTCTTAGAGGGCTTTTAGCTCCTTTTTGATAATGGTAGAGCTATAAGGAGATCAGGAAACGCACTCAACATGCCTTTAAAACAGGGTCTCGAATTCCATGACTTCGGAGACATTTTACAGGTCAATGAAACAGAACATGAACATGAATTAGATGAGCAGTATAAAGAAAAGAAGTAGTCACCACAGTTTTGTGGTTTGGAGTCTGTCAATAAATAAGATAGATGGCAGCTGGCAACAGGTAGGGGGCAAGGGATGCGGGTGGCAGGGGAAAGAAGTGCAGAGTACAAGATGAGCCTGGTTTCAGACAGTTTGAAGCAGAACATAATGTGCAAATGCATACTTTTAAATTTCTATAAGCAATGCCTTCATTCTTAGCTGCAACCCTAATAAACTGGGGGCCAATTTATTAGGTTGGTCATAATATTTCTGTAGAGAACACTGATATGGTACAAAATATAAATAAGTGAGAGATGGAAGCAATCAATGTCTATCAAACTCTAATGAGAAAGTTTGAGATTTGTAGAGCAACAAAAGACACTAAAGCAACCCTATGATAAAATGTGTCAATCTGCTATGGTAAGAACATCCAAGCAGTCTCAGCTTCTATACATAGTGTCCTTGGCAGACTGAGGGGGCGAGCGCTGGAAGAATGAAAAGGCAGCAGCCAAAGAAAACCAGAAACCAAGCTAGAGAGTTAAAAACTCCTTGAATTAAAAAAAGTCCCTGAATTAGAATATCACAAGCAAATTCTGTCCCCTGTGCCACAATGGTTACATAGGTAAAAACTTATGCCAGCCTCTAACGAGAAGGAAGCCTGTCCAATTTAGATGAATCTGATTTATACAGTTTAAATTACTGTCAATTAGTTTAGAAATATGTATAGAGGCCCTGCAGGGTATGAACCACTGTGCTGGCAAGAATATAACACACTATAAAACACGGTAGGACCAAGCATGTCTGTTTTTGTTGAAAACACTCTTGATTCAATATAAGTGAATAGCCTTCACTCAAAGAGATTCAGCTGGCTTGATGTCTCATCCCCAAAGCACATGTTACAACCTTTACAGCACTATTTTGATTCTTAAATTTAATGCTTTTTTCCAAGAGTGAAAAATGCACAAGATTAGGTGCAGAACACCGGAGATCTATCCTGTTAACTATGCAATGGCAAAACACCAAATCTCTCTGAATTTGGGTTCATTATCTATACACCGGGAATAAGAATATCTGTCCTACCATAGAGCTGTGGTGAGCACTGTATGAGACGATGTATGCAAATGTGTAATAAATAGAGTTTATAAATGTATTCACTTATCTTCAATCAATTCAACTTACTGAATATCTAGTTTAAGTGTGGCTCTGTACTAGCGTGCTAGAGAAGAACAAGGTTCTTCTGGAAAAGCTTGTTGCCTATGGAAGGAAAAGTATCCATGAATACTAAAAGACTCAGACTACAATTCCTTCCTCTAAAAGGAACATTTTCATCTCTCTCCTATCACAAAGTAGAGATAAGTGTCTTTTCCCTAAGCCTTTGTACTATTCGGTATGTAAAGCAATCACAATGAATTTCAACTGTTCTCTTTTCCTCTCTTCCCTCTTTTTCTCCTTCTCTCCATGATAAATATTTGGAAGAGTGAGTGGATGAATGAATTAAACCAACAAACGTATAACACTGAGGATGCAATTGCTGACTGTGGCTGGGGAAGCAGGCAGGGAAGGAAGTAGCTCAGGGAGATTCACAAATGAGAGGATTCACAAAAGTAGCCCGTCAGCTGAGAAGAGCAATACTGTGAAAGAAAACAGCAGTATCTTCTAATAGCATTTCTAGCAGGTTACAGAAAAACTTCAAATATCTGATTTTCCTGCTTTTAGCGTGTTCATTGTATTGGAAACAGAAAATAAAATATTTCCTTCCATTTTAATTCACAAAGGATTTCTGAGACAGTCAATTACTAAAAAGAAGAAAAGTCGTTCTATTTATGCCAGCAGGAAAACAAAACAGGGTTATACAAGGCATACTCCCTGACAAAAGCAGGAAATGCATCATCATGCTTCACTCCAGCTTAGCTAGGCATTCTTTTGGGATGCCACTACTTGCATCTCCCAGATCTCTATTCCAGTGAGGAGTGGCCATGTGCCTGAGTTCCAGACAATGGAAAAAATAGAGGTGATATCTATGATTTTCAGACTGGCCTACAAAAATCTCTTTCATGCAATTCTTCATGTTTTTTCACCTTCTGCAATCTGGATGCTGACATCCAAAGCGACTTTGGAAGATGGCCGAGTTTCCTTCAGCCTTGGTCCTTAAAGGACCATCTGTTGTACAGACCACTTCTTTGGAACCACATTGCACCATTCAATATGAGTAAAACATAAGTGCACAGGGTGCTAAGCCACTCAAACTGAAGGGTTTATTTGTTACAGAAGCTAGTATGACTAATATATTAAAGTGGCACCCCAATTATATGTAAGGGTGAGAATTCGGTGTCAAATTAGAACTGTTATAGCTGCACAATGGAAGGGGATCTGAGCAAGGCTCTTAAGGGGACATTTTACTACTGCTCTCTGAGTGAGGTGACTAGGCCAGATGCTGTGCTAAGCACAGTAATTCACCTTTCTATCCAGATGTCCAACACACTACTTGACATTTTGCAGAGGTACAACATGATTTCTGAGTGAATAAAATGAGTGAGTGAATGAATGAATGGAAAGAATTTTGAGAAGATGAGAGCACTACAAGTTAAGGGAATAGCTGAACAGGGGAATACAGATTCCACCCCCATCCCTCATCTTCATCCCCAAAATTCAACATCCTATTCAACATACAAAACAAGAAGCTGATAAAACGGGGAGATTAAGGAGCTAAAAATATACCTTTAAATAAGTCACAGAGGGAAAGTTATACTTGGGGAAAATAGGCCTATAATGAAGAAGAGCTTCTGGGCATGATTGAAGCATTGGGCCAGCATGACACAAAGTATGGCTTTCTTTGAAATCTCATCAGCAAACATACATTTCTTAAATGATGCAACTCTAGTTCTGAAATGCGTTCTGGCTAGCATAATGGAGAGATGATTGCTGGATGCTCATTTCATAGCCAACTCATCTTTTTGCTGTTAAGGATTGACCCTGATATCAAGTATGGAAAGATTCTGCAATAAAATGAGCTAGCAATGCCGCATACTCCATTACAACAATTATACAACCTTTCTAAAGATACTGATTCAAGTATCCTCAATTCACAAGTATTTACTCAGAGGCTATTATAAACCAGGCACAAAGATAGGAATTAGAAATAAAAGATGAATATGATGATCCACCTTTTTCTAGAAAATAGATTTAAGTTGAAATCAATAATTTCATCTACTTTGATCCTATTTCCTAATACTAGAATTTTAAAGAAAGTAGGAGAAAAACTATTATAAATGCAGTAACATTAAAAAGTCAACACATCAAAGTATAAATATTACATTGTACTACCCCCCTCCAAAAAAAAAAAAACAGGAATTCAAGTTGTAAACATGACCTTTGGTGATATTTTATGGATTTTACAAAAAGGAAAAATGAATGCATTTGAAAGGTTCTGTGAAATGCTATTTAAAATAAAGTACGGAACACA